GTATTTAATCAGCATTCTGTAATTCAGTCATTACGGTTTAAAAAGAACCCGGCCAGTGAGAAGCTAGGGGCTAAAATTAAGTTGTTAGGGAATTTAGTTTTTGACGGCGTGTTAAACGCCTGTATTATACCTTCTCAATGGAGTCGGGTGTTGGACCCAGCGGCTGACTGTATGTGGGAGTAATTCCTGCAGGCACAGAGTGTGGTCTCAACCCAGCCCACTTTCTTGAACGTGTGATTGCTTTGTCTGGCGAAGGTTTTGGGGAGTTGCAGATGTGGTTTCAGAATCACTGCTTGTGCCAGAAGAAACTTCAGGCATATGGCGCCTGGAGGCGAAGGCAACATGGCTCCCGTCCGATGGGGAGGTGCGGGGTTCAGTGCCCTGTGTCCACCTGCTGTGGGCTCTCCACAGAGTTCCTCACACAGTCAGACCTGTAGAGTGGACCAGCCACCGTCTATGGGACCCTCACATCCAGAACTGTGCGCGAACTAAACGGTTGTCAACACACCACTTTGCCTTTGCCGGTGAGTGACCGAGAGTGGAAAGGGGACCCGTCCGAGCTGCCAGTCCGTGGAGCCGGGTTGACTCACATCTCACCTGCATTCTCTCACACTCCAGTGCCCTACAACTCCATCCACTGTTCTTTTTCTCCCAGAGGCAAAACAAATATATTGCATTGGAAGTCTCACTTATCTTTGCAATCTGTTCAAGGACAGAACATCAGTGGTGGGGTGGGAGAAACGATGAGCAAGTGAGAAAGCAGTAGGCGGTGGGGAACTGCATTTCACCCCAAAGCAGGTATCTCCACTCTAATTGCAAGGAAGAATCAAAGACCCAACCCACAGCTTTCTAAGGAATTTATGACTTTGGTTTTGAAAAATCACCAATTAGAAGTCTGCAGAAAAGAAGGAAAAAATGAACAAACCCAAAGTGATATGTGCAAAAAGTATGCAATATAAATAATTGAAATGGAACTGCTAAGTTCAGAGGTGAATGTTAAGAATAATAAATTAATTGAAATTAACATGACTGTCATTGTTCAAGCAGCTACTTACAACAAACCAGAGAATATGGTTATAGGTAAGATATGAATCAAATATGGAGAATTGTTATGATCAGTTCTTTAATCATGCAATCTCGAGAACCCAGATAAATAAATATAAAGTGATATATATTCTGTGTGGAGGTTGGAAAGTAAGAAGCTATTTTATTTATATTAAAGATGGAATTTTCTGTTGAAGCCATTATTTGATTGAATGTTTAAATTATCCAAGATTTAAAAATAAGTATGAGATCATAATGGGCTTCCCTGGTGGCTCAGTGGTAAAGAATTCTCTTACCCATGCAGGAGATGTGGGTTCTATCCCTGGGTCAGGAAGATTCCCTGGAGAAGGGAATGGCAGCCCACTCCAGTATTCTTGCCTGGGAAATCCCATAGATAAAAGAGCCTGGCAGGCTACAGTTCATAGTGTTGCAAAAGAGTCAGACACTACTTAGTGACTAAACAACAACGAGATCAGAATAATATAAGACTTTTAAATTGACAAAAATGTTAAGAAAAATTATGAAACAATTAACAATAAATACAAAGTTTTGACTACAACTTGGAGAAAATAGCTTCAGAGAGGTTTGTTTTGTTTTTTTTTTTTTTTTTACTTAGCATTCAGTTTTGGGTGTGAAAACTGCTTTTGTGATACTCCACTCAGACTAGTTTATCTGAGATCCTAAGGACATGAGAGCAGGCCTGGCTGATCTCCATGCTGGTCCTCCTTCCCTTGGTCAGTTCTCAGAGGCCCAGGCTGCTTGCTTTCAGAGCTGAAATTGTGCCTGTGTGTGTGAAGATGATTAAATGCCATGCTGAGATGTCCTCTCTAACACTTAGGAGCTGGGAGGAGGGCTCTATCATCTGAAATGCAAGGGACAAATGGTCTCTCTGGTCCATTTTAGGGGGGATGAGATGAAGGGCTAAGAGAAGCTTCTGTTGAGATGTATGGGAAAATTAGTAATATGCAGATGAATGATCATTCACGTGAGACAGACATCTCATGTAATCATTCAAGTATTGGATGGATGCAAGCCAAGGTAACAAAGTGGATTATGAGAGGCGAGATGGGTACCTGTACTTTTTATCACCAACATGACACATAGGCCATCGTGATGAAATTCAACCTCACCTCCCAAGACCCTTGCTTTTAAGCCACAGACTTGGAAAACAGGTGCCATGTTATTATGCCAAAAATGTCCTTCTGTTGTTTACTAATGAATAATATTTGACAAGCTGATTAGAGTTTTTAATATATGCCATCTCATTCCAGTAATGTGACATTTTGATACATGACTATACATATATATGTGTATAGTCATATACACATAGTGTGTATGTGTATATATGATTTGCATACACATGTACATACACATATATATGTATATATATGTGAGTTATTCCTAAGGACAGTAAAAGTCAACTGTCATCTAGTATGTTATTTATTTATTTGAAAAATGTAATATAAAATGAGATCACTGAAAATATTTTCATAAATGTAATTCTTTAATATAAAGACATTATTGAAAGAAATATCAAATAAAACACCCTAAGCTATTTTATTTGTATTCTAAATAGCTTTCAAATTTTATGTCTCATTTTTGTCTTTCATTTATGACAATTATTTATACCTGGGACACTTCCAATCAGCTCTGAGATCTCTCAGTTCTCTGGGATATTGTGGTTATATTTGACAATTTATGTTATAAATTTCTATGTGTGCCAGGCCATGAAAGAGTAAAGATGTGGAAAGTTCTGACATATACACATGCACACATGTGCAAAGATCACACAGCCATTCTTTAAGCTCAGTGTATTTCATTCCATGGGCATAACCAGTCCATAAGCCTAATTATCAAATGTTTCTTAAATAACTGATTTGGTCCCAGAGGTAAGAGAGCTATATTTGTGGACAACAGTTAGGATTTATTCCCCTTGCCCATTGAAAAAAAAATCAAAATCCAAGAAACTTTAAATTTTACAAAGACAAACATTTGTCAGAAGAAAAAGTGAAACACAGCCTTTGCTGTTTAGACTTGGTTGGTCTGCCCTGCTGCTATAGAGCATGTTTTGTTTTGTTTACTTTGTCCTTTCATCTCAATTAGTCATAAATTTCATGAATGATAAGTTGTTTGGGGTTTTCTTTGGATCATTATTGTTAGCAGGTGGACAAATTATAAGCAAAACAAATTATTACTGATAAAACTGGGGGAAATTCCAAGATCTTTATAGCTACCTATAGGGATACCTACTAAGAAGGAAGAGATTGACCTCAGCCAACTCAGCATTTAGCTGAAGCAGCAGGTCCAGTTATTTTCTTTTATAAAAAATATGCTCCCCTTGAAGATGAATGGTGTGTATCTGGCCCCTGCTTTGGGAGTGCCAGAAAATATCTACTTCTGCTTTACTGACTATGCCAAAGCCTTTGACTGTGTGGATCACAACAGACTGAAAAATTCTTCAAGAGATGTGAATGCCAGACCACCTGATCTGCCTCTTGAGAAATATGTATGCAGGTCAGGAAGCAACACTTAGAACTGGACATGGAAAAACAGACTGGTTCCAAATCGGGAAAGGAGTACATCAAGGCTGTATATTGTCACCATGCTTATTTAACTTATATGCATAGTACATCATGAGAAACGCTGGGCTGGATGAAGCACAAGCTAGAATCAAGATTGCCGGGAGAAATATCAATAACTTCAGATATACAGATGACACCACACTTATGGCCAAAAGCAAAGAAGAACTAAAGAGCCTCTTGATGAAAGTGAAAGAGGAGAGTGAAAAAGTTGGCTTAAAACTCAACATTCAGAAAACTAAGATCGTAGCATCTGGTCCCATCACTTCATGGGAAATAGATGGGGAAACAGTGGAAACATTGGCAGACTTTATTTGGGGGGCCCCAAAATCACTGCAGATGGTAACTGCAGCCATGAAGTTAAAAGATGCTTGCTCCTTGGAAGAAAAGCTATGACCAACCTAGGCAGCATATTAAAAAGCAGTGACTTTATTTTGCCAACAAATGTCCGTCTAGTCGAAGCTAAGGTTTTTCCAGTAGTCATGTATGGATGTGAGAGTTGGACCATAAAGAAAGCTGAGCACCGAAGAATTGATGCTTTTGAACGTGGTGTTGGAGAAGACTCTTGAGAGTCCCTTGGACTGCAAGGAGATCAAACCAGTTCATCCTAAAGGAAATCAGTCCTGAATATCCATTGGAAGGACTGGTGCTGAAGCTGAAACTCCAATACTTTGGCCACTTGATGTGAAGAACTGACTCATTGGAAAAGACCCTGATGCTGGGAAAGATTGAAGGTGGGAGGAGAAGGGGACGACAGAGGATGAGATGGTTGGATGGCATCACTGACGCGATGGACATGAGTTTGAGTAAACCCCGGGAGTTGGTGATCGCCAGGGAAGCCTGTTGTGCTGCAGTCTATGGGGTCAGAAAGAGTCGGACATGACCGAGTGACTGAACTGACTCACTGATGGGAGCAGCCCTATCAAGGCCATGAGGGTGCATCATGCAAGATGTGATAGGAGCTCAGAAAACCAGGCAGGACCTTGTGGGGCTCCTGGGAACAGAAGCCTCTCTGAGTCCCCCATTTCTTCATTAAGGAAGTGGGCTTCATTCAGCCTACAGGACCTTTCCTGAGTTCCACCGGGAGGTTCAGACAGATGTTAACCGAGGAAGGGAGGGCCCAGAGACAAGGGAGGAGCAGGGAGAGAAACAGCAGTGCAGCCTCGGGGCAGGTCCTGATTCCCCTCGGGGGTTCACATCACAGGATCTTTGAGCTGCTTTGAAGACACTGAAAGCCCCCCAGGTGGGAGAAGTTAACTGTGCGCTGCCCACAAGCACGTGGACCCCAGACCTGCTGGAACCAGAAGGTTGAAGATTCTGACTCCCACCTATGTCACCACCCACTGGTCAGAGGAAAGTCCTTGCCCGCTTTGAACCATGGCCCTACAACTCCTCACTGCCCCCACCAGGTGGGGACACACACGGTGTTGAGGGGTCAACCCGCCGTGGCCCCCTTTGCCTGGCAAAGCAATAAAGCTATGCTTTTCTACTTCACCAAAAACTCTGTCTCCGAGATTTAACTTTGTGTCCAGTACAGAATCCAGAGTTGGCTTCACTGCTGAAGCAGTTACAGGATCCACAGGTTGGTCACTCAGCAGAAGCACAAGCCGTGCAGTCCCTCTGAAAGCAGGCTGTGTTCTTAGAGACTGCTTTAGAGTGTTGTCATGCATCTGCATGTCCACCATTGCACTGTGCATACAGGGGTGGGAGGATGCATTTCAGAGTTAACTACAATTTTTAAGAAGCTATTTGGCTATTAAGTATTCATGCTCTGTGGCTTTTCCAGTGTGTATTCAAGGGCCATCTGTTAAAACTGCAGCTAGAGAGGAAAGCAGGGTTTTAAAAATGGGCTAGATCATTGCATTTACAAGGTGGGAGGAAGTGAAGAGAGCACCCAGGAGCGAGGTGTCCATCCGGACCTGCAGGCCAGTTGTGCTATGGGGTCCAGAGCACACATGATATTTGTCACCTTGTTGACTGTTGAGTGGATGTGTTAGGACAGCTGTTTGAAAAACACTTCAGGGCTCCAAACAGCTCTAAGGAAGCCCTTGGGAAGGCAAGTGTCTCCAACCAGGAGTGGACAGCATCCCATGGAAAGATGGAAGGAGAGACCAGGAAAACCATTGGCCAGTGGAGACGCAGAGCACTCCTGCCCACTGGCTCCAGCCTTCATTTTCCCCTTCACCAGAGTGCTTATAATCCTTAGCATGTGGTCTTTGTTTTGATAGGCATGAAATTACACCGAGGTCATTTCTAATACTGTCAATAGCTTGAGAGCAGCAGTAGTTTTATTGACACCTACGCTGAAGAGCTGGGGGCCCACCGGTCCTCTGGGAAACAGATTATTATTGATATTAGTAAATTAGTATCGATAGAAATTTGATGAATACACATCTACAATGAACCAGCGTCCTCATCCAGAAAGAGTGGAGCCTGAGGTTTAGACAACATGGTCCACGCATCTATCCTGTACTGTCTTTTATTTTTCTTAAGAAGCAGCAGGAGAAACAAGCTTTTGAGTATTGCCATCTATTGCACTCAGAACTCCCTAAAGCCATGCTAAGTGGCCTGCTAGCTAAACGTTGCTGCTTTCTTCTGTTAGAAGGACTAGGCTTTCCTCTGTTCTTCATATTCCATATATCTCTGAAACTGTATGTGACAGTGGATGTTTAGATGGAAACGTATTTCTTCTTTAGCAAGTCTCTTTTATTAGGAGGATTGAACTTAAATAGCTGAGTGGTTTTCCGAAGAGGCTGGGGGTCACTCGCCTGGGGAGGTCCCCAGAGTTCCTGAAATCTGCACAGACCAGGCAGGGTGTCCACAACTCAGCCCGCAGGTGGGACGGGTAGCTTTTCAGAACAGACCAGACCCAAATGTCAGTGGCATATGTCAGAAGTAGAAGGCAGGTGGTAGGAGAAATTCCAGCCAACTGCTGGTGTGGGCTGAGCACCTGAGACCAACAACCCTGCAGAGACCCCCAGACCAGTAAGATCCTGTCAGCCTCTCAGATGGGCGAGGGCGAAGATCCAGAAAAGAAAAAAAACAAAACAAAACAGTATTGTGTGGGAATCAAATGATGTTCAGGAAAAGTAGAGCAATAGCAGAAATGACATGAGGGTTGTATAGGATTCCACCGACAGGAAATGTCCAGAACACGCAAATGCTTAGAGACAGAGGGCAGATTAGTTTGGAGCTGGGCCTGGGTGGAGGCGAACGGGGAGCCTCTGAGAAGGAGGAGGGCTTATTTGCAGGGTGGGGGTGGGGGCAAGAATGTTTTGGAATTGGGTCGTGGTGAGGGTCGCCCAGCTCTGTGTACTAAAAACACTGAACGGTAGACTTTAAATGAGTGAATTCTATGGTGTGAATTGTATCTCAGTAAAGGAAAATATGGTAAAAATGTAAACCTGGACACAACATCTCTGCAGGAACAAAAGTAAAAATGATAAAATGAGAGTGAGGAGCCAAAGTATTTATTTTAGTGTTAATGTACAGATTTAGTAAATCAGGGAATTAGCGTTCTTGCCATTATGTCTTGTGTTTCTAATTCTGTAAATTCAGAGCAAGATAAGATAAGGAGGGTGAGAAAATGCTTGTGCTACAAGCCAGTATCACAGCAAGACGGCTGACAGCCACGATGCTGTTCCTGCAAGTGGTCTCCATGCCCGTGGCACCCACGCCGGGAGGCGGGCTGGGCCGGGAAGCCGTGCCATGCTGTGCCGCAGCGTGGGTTTTAGTCAGCTATGAATCAGGCTATGGAGCCACCAACGGCATCTCAGTTCTGAGACTTGTATTTCAGCCCATCCCCTCGTGGGGGCACTTTGACTGGCCACACATATGACTCTGTGTCCCCTAATCAGTCAGCTTAGCTTTTGTCTTCTTCCCAGCATCTTCTTTGGCTTGTAACACTTCCTGGCCTGATTCCTCACCACCACTCTCCTAATTACTCCCCATGATAAAGCCACCTGCAAACTCAACGATCTAAGAGGTTTAATGTGGGGTTATTTGGAAGAAGAAATATTATTATATTTCCTGAATAAAATATCTTGAATAAGAAATCAAGATTTATTTATTCAAGATTTCTTCTCTGGAAAATGTACATGCATGCATGCGAAATTGCTTCAGTCATGTCTGACTCTTTGTGGCCCTATGGACTATAGCCCCCCAGGCTCCTCTGTCCATGGGATTCTCCAGTCAAGAATACTGGAGTGGGTTGCCCGTGCCTTCCTCCAGGAGATCTTCCTGACCCAGGGATCGAACCCAAGTCTCTTGTGTCTCCTGCTTTGGCAAGTGGGTTCTTTACCACTAGTGCCACCTGGAAAATGTACAAAAAGGTAAAATCCTGTTGGACCCAAGAGTCTGTATTTGGGTCCAGGATGGTCTCAGGAAGAGATGAGATAACTTTTCCAGATGGAATCAAAGCTTAGGGAGCAACTGGTTGGATGCCTACATTTACAAATGCGGCCACAGAGATCCAAAGACCAGGACAAGGGACTTCCTTGAGGAAGACGATAGGCAAATGAGAGACTTTAAGATGAAGAACAAACAGCACAGAGGATTTGGATGAGCGGGAGTGAAGGTCACAGCTCAGGCGGAGGAAAACAAATGGTGTGGTTTCACCCTGGCTGACGTGTGGTCCACGAGCAACACAGCCTTAGCCGTCCAAACACCCGGTGCCAAAACTCACAACTTACAGTGTGACCTCATGGCAGAGGGGTGCCCAGGAAGAGAAACGACTGCAAAAATGCACTTGTACACAAGCACGGAATAAACAGAGCTCATTTGCAACTGTGTGCCCGTGAATTTGCACCAGCAACTAAAGGCAACTTTTCCTAATCCGTTTAAATGTGTTCATCAGGAAACAGAGTCCCACCTTTCACCACAGATAGGAACGGTTACCAACGGCAAGGCTTTCAGCATCACTTCTTACAGCTGAGACTCCACGTCCCAGAGAAGGAAGAAAATAGTCATCACGAGGGTTGTTATTGGTTCCTACAGCCTAGACTCTCTGGGAAAGAATTTTGAGACCCATGCCTTCAAATATCTCTACTTAATGAAGATAATTCCTCTGTTTCTTGAAACTTTTCACCAGCAGAATTTAGCTACAATCATACTGTAAACTGAGGGAGAATGTGCTTAAATGACTACGAATTAACGTTCCCACATGACTGATGCCCTTAGATATTAGTCATGCTTTACCCATATTCTAACCACTTTAGCTTCATCATAGTTTCCTGTTATAACAAAGAGTAAAAATGGAGGTGGTGAGAGTAAAGAAAAAAGCTAAACATCCAACACCAGGTCTCTTACAGGTTCAATTGTACAGAATATGAAAACAATTTGTTTTGCCATAGCATTTAGTATGTTCCTCGTTAAAAAGAGAATATCTCAAATAATAAATTTCAAATTATTTCCTCATACATGTCCATATGCATAATAAATGGGCATTTTAGTTCCTATCTAATTATCTAGATTGGTGCAGAATTTTTTTTTTTAAAAATGCCAGTTTTAATTGCAAAAGTGCTGCCGGCTTCAGATTTTAATTGCAATTCACAAATGGTTGGACTGGCAGTGCTCCATGACAAAGAAAAAATCATTTTAATAGCAGAAGTACTGCCTCACTGCAGATTCCAATTTCATTTTACAAGATACTGGGTCATTATAAGGGATAAATGGCTGGTGTGAGCCTCTGAGGTGGGGCCGGGTCGCAGAGGCCGCCATGGCCCAAGTCTCCTCCTCCTCTCGAAGAGCAAGACCGGAGGAACCCCAAAAGCCTCCAAACATCCTCACAGCTGAGCTTGTCAATGGACCCTGTTCTTTCTCTGCATCAGGGGCTTCACAAGCATGTAGATGTTTAGAAGCTTTAGGATAAAGGAAAAGCAAACTGTTTCCATGGAAATATTTCCCCCTTGGATCTTAGTGTCCACTCTGTCCTCAGCCCACCAAGTGCCCTCAGGGCGAGCTTTGGCGTCTGTCCCGTGGGATGCTGAGCAGACACAGGTGAAAGGCACTGTGGTTTCGTGTGGCCATTCTGACAGGCCAAGATGCTGAGGGTGTGCAGTCACAGTGACAGAGTACCAGAGCCATTCCAGTGATCCTAGTGTCAGAGCCAGTGATGGGAGACTGTTTTCGCCTTTGTCCTCCATTGAGGACCCTGCACCTGAGTCTCCAGCATCTGCAGGTTGAGGGACCCAAAACCCCTGGCCCTCTGGGCTCCTGGCTGTCTCCATGTCTCACTCTGGAGGACAATCTGCCCTCGGGGCAGCCATCACTCACAGGCTGACTGTGCCAGCCCTCGGAGGGGCTCTGCCCACCACCCACATTGGGGGCTTGTGGTATGGGATAATCACCAATGGAACCCAAAGTGTGTTCTGCCCATTGATGTTCCAAAGTCACATAAGTGAATTGCAAGGGCAATGTAATCTATGATTCAAAGGTATTGTTGATGGACTTCAACTGTTATTCCTGGAATTCTAAAAATATATAGTTCAAAAAAAGAGCTGGATCAAATTTTTTAAGATTTTATAGCAGTTGTAGGTTCACAGAAAAATTGAGAGGAAATTACAGAGATTACCCCTGTACCTGCTACCCCTACACAGGCTTAGCCCCCACTGTCAATATCCCCCCAAGAAGGGACATTTGTTTGTATAATCGACGAACTTACGTAGACATGTCTTCACCCAAAGTCCAGAGTTTATAGTAACATTCACTCCTGGTCTTGTTCATTCCATGGGTCTAGACAGATTTACACAAATGCAGCCATCTTTTTCATATCAGAGTATTTTCACTGCCCAAAATCCTCCATGTTCTTGCTCTTCTCCTTCCCACTCCTCACCCCAGGAACCACTGATCTTTTTACTCTTTCCATTGTTTGGCCTTAGATTAATTTTTAAATCTCTACTTTTAGGATGGTATAAAATATTTTCACTATGCATATTACTTCTATTTAAACTATTTGGTAAAAGTAAATTATAAACAAAAATACATATTGCATAACACAAAATCATATATATGCATATTGTGCTCTGTGCTAAGTCGTGTCCAACTCTTTGTGACTCCATGGACTGTAGCCTGCCAGGCTCCTCTGTCCATGGGATTCTCCAGGCAAGAACACGGGAGTGGGGTGCCATGCCCTTCTCATATGCACATTACTTATATATAAATATGTATTATATGTTACATACTATAAATGTATATTATATATACTATTTATATATTGTAATGCACATTTTTTATATATACTTTAAGTGTGTGTTAGTCTTTAAGTCATGTCTGACTCTTTGTGACCCCATGGACTGTAGCCCACCAGGCTCCTCTGTCCATGGATTCTCCAGGCAAGGACACTGGAGTGGGGTGCCATGCCCTTCTCATATGCACATTACTTATATATAAATATGTATTATATGTTACATACTATAAATGTATATTATATATACTATTTATATATTGTAATGCACATTGTTTATATATACTTTAAGTGTGTGTTAGTCTTTAAGTCATGTCTGACTCTTTGTGACCCCATGGACTGTAGCCCACCAGGCTCCTCTGTCCATGGGATTCTCCAGGCAAGAACACTGGAGTGGGGTGCCATGCCCTTCTCATATGCACATTACTTATATATAAATATGTATTATACGTTACATACTATAAATGTATATTATATATACTATTTATATATTGTAATGCACATTGTTTATATATACTTTAAGTGTGTGTTAGTCTTTCAGTCATGTCTGACTCTTTGTGACCCCATGGACTGTAGCCCACCAGGCTCCTCTGTCCATGGGATTCTCCAGGCAAAAGTATTGGAGTGGGTTGCCATTCCCTTCTCCATATATATACTTTGTATTCATGCAAAAACACATATGTACCACATCAGTGCATACTTTGCAGTTATAGAAACTATACAGATGTAATAATAAAGTCTTTTGAAGTTATGAAATTCATGTTACTTTTTAAAAAATAAAATTTTGATGACTTCTCAAGGAAGCAAAGACCAAGGGTAACTTCCTTCGTGTGCTGTTGCTGACCTCTCTTTCTATTTTAAATAAATGGAAGTGCTTCATGACTCACAAAAGTGATTCTGTCATTCCCAGAGCATCCTACACCTGCAAACTCTCGACTGTTTAGAGAGCGGTGTGAGCGCGCAGATCCTCGGCCCCGCCTCTCGGAGGCGCTGTCGTCTTAGCGTTCCTCGTGCATCTCGGCACCAACGAGGTGCGGCCACCATCCACTACCCATGACGGTAGGTCACATTCAAAGTGTGTGTCTCTTAAATTCATCTCAAGGCAGAGATTAAAACAGAGTTAGCAGTTAAGTGGTTGGAGTTTTGTGCAAGACCGAACTGCATCTCCCATGTATTTTGGCAACTATTCATCCAGTGTGTGTGGGAGGCCCTGGTCCCGCGCCAGGAGCGCTCACAGAGCTCAGCTGAGAACAGAGAACCCGTGTGTCGGGGCCCAGCTCGAGGCTGCTCCCAGGCACTGCGGCTGTCTCAGAAGGCAGAGTCACCCCCAATGGCTTTATCCATGTCAGACCGCTCCGGAGGGCTGAGTGCCTGAAGTGAGAAGAATCCTATCAGATACAATAAAATCCTAAAACTCTATAATGCAGTGCTGACAGTGCTCAGGTGCGGGAGGAGCCGCGGAGCCCCCCGCGACTCCCCGCGGCCTCCAAAGGCTCCCAGCCCTGCTCAGCACAGGGCATCCTGCTGCCTGGCAGGAACCTCACCCTGGGAACCTGCCCACTGTGTCCCGCAAGCCCCCCGTGCCCAGCAAAGAAGAGTGGAGACACATACCTGTGGCCAGAGGGCCGCAGCCAGTGAGTCTAAGCATGAGTTACTCGGAAAAACAGGGAGGAGAGTAAAGTGCCGCTAAAAGCTTCCCATCCAGGGGGGAAAAAATGGGAATTTGTAGCCAGCAATAAGGTAAAACAGTCAACAAAAGTGTCCAAGGTACAATCATTGCCTGCTTAGAAAAGAGGCTAGATTTAATAAATCTGGGTGTGTGTGTGTGTGTGTGTCTGGTCTACATGTGTATGTATATTTGTGTGTTTGGGTCTGTGTGTGTGTTTATGTGTGTGTCCGGGCCTACATGTAGGTTTGTGTATGTGTGTCTAGGTCTACATGTGTGTGTGTATGTGTGTCTGGGTCTCTGGTATGTGTGTGTGTGTGTGTCTGGGTCTATGTGTGTGTATGTATATGTGTCTGGGTCTACGCGTGTGTATGTATGTGTGTCTGGGTCTCTGGTATGTGTGTGTGTGTATGTACGTATGTGTGTCTGGGTCTACCTGTGTGTGTGTATATGTGTCTGGGTCTCTGTGTGTGTATGTGTGTCTCTGTCTACATGTATGGGTGTACATGTGTGTGTATAACTGTCTGAGTTCATGTGTCTGTATGTGTGTGCATGTACGTGTATCTGACTCCCTGTGTATATATGTGTATGTGCATATGTGTGTGTATGTGTGTCAGGATCTATGTGTGTGCATGTGTATGTATTTGTGTCTGAGTCCATGTGTGTCTGTATGTGTGTGTGTATATATGTGCCTGAGTCTACACATGTGTATGTATGTGTGTCCGTGTCTCTGTGTGTATGTGTGTGCGTGTATGTATATGTGTCTGGGTCTACATGTGTGTATGTATATGTGTCTGGGTCTCTCTGTGTGTGTGTGTATGTGTGTATGTGTGCCTGGGTCTACATGTGTGTATGTATATGTGTCTGGGTCTCTCTCTGTGTGTGTGTATGTATGTGTGTGTGTCTGGGTCTACACGTGTGTATGTGTGCCTGGGTCTACATGTGTGTATGTATGTGTCTGGGTCTCTCTCTCTGTGTGTGTATGTATGTGTGTGTGTCTGGGTCTACACGTGTGTATGTGTGTCTGGGTCTACATGTGTGTATGTGTGTCTGGGTCTCTGTGTGTATGTGTGTGTGTATGTGTGTGTGTGTGTCTGGGTCTACACGTGTGTATGTATGTGTGTCTGGGTCTACGCATGTGTATGTATGTGTGTCTGGGTCTGTGTGTGTGTGTGTGTGTGTGTGTGTGTGTATGTATATGTGTCTGGGTCTGCGTGTGTGTATGTCTGTGTGTCTGGGTCTCTGTGTGTATGTGTGTGTGTGTATGTATGTATGTGTGTCTGGGTCTACACATGTGTGTGTATGTGTGTCTGGGTCTACACGTGTGTATGTATGTGTGTCTGGGTTTCTGTGTGTGTGTATGTATGTATGTATATGTGTCTGGGTCTGTGTGTGTGTATGTCTGTATTATGTGTGTGTGTGTATGTGTGTGTGTGTGTCTGGGTCTACAGGTGTGTATGCATGTGTGTCTGGGTCTACGCATGTGTATGTATGCGTGTCTGAGTCTCTGTGTGTATGTGTGTGTGTATATGTATGTTTGTGTGTCTGGGTCTACACGTGCATATGTATCTGTGTCTGGGTCTATGCGTGTGCATGTATGTGTGTCTGGGTCTACCTGAGTGAGTGTGTGTGTGTGTGTGTGTGTGTGTGCATGTTTTGACATATGTGAGATTTCCTGGGAGAGTTTACAGCCTGCATACCCAGTGCCCAGTGAGAGAGACTGGTCATTCCAGAAAGTTCTGCTACCTGAATGTATGCCCCACCTGTGCAGTGAGGATGCCAGGAACCGGAGCTTGAGCTGCAACCAGGTTCCTTGCTCCCTTCAGCCTGGCTCCACAGGGCCCCTGGGGGCGCGAGGCCTGCAGGGCTGTCTCCAGAGCTGCTCTGCATGAAGCAACAGTGGGCTCTCCGAGGGGAACCACATCCATGGGAGGCCTGCAAGGGCTTGAGGGTGACAGGGGGCCTGGGCAGCAGGAACCAGGGGGTCAGCACCACGACTGCAGTGGGGACAAGAGGATTCCTTGGGTCCTGAGCATGGACAGCATACTGCTCACATGGGCTGGAAATGAGATGCCCCGCCCTGACGGCCAGAGGCTGGGGGACCCCCAGAAGGAGGACCAGCCGGGGTCACAGGGCTAGGGCAGGGCAGGAGGGGAGGGTCTGTCAGGGTGTCCGTCACGTGGGTCCCTAGGGTGAAGAGAGGCCAGGATCTGTCCCCCAGCTGAGCACTGTCTCCACTTGGTGTTCCTGCTGGTGTTCCTGGAGGGGTAGGGGAGCTTCTGATCAGGCCTGTCACAGCCACTTTCTAGCTCTGCCACGTGACAACGCACTTGGTTCTCCCGGTGGTACAAAAGGGAGCAGAATAGTAGGTTGTAGGTCCATCACAGGATAGGTGGGGTGAGGTGACACCTGGAGGGGTGACCGGGGCAAAGCGTCACCCGCACCCACCTTGACCGTCACAGGCTGAGAGACCCAGGGACAGAGGTGACCGGGGCCGGAGTGGGTTTTCATAGATGCCAGTCATGATTCATCTTTCCAGGTGGTGATGTCACCACCCATGAAGAGGTGCTGGAGACACATCATCCTTGTGTAAATGTGAGCCCACTGGTGCCTGCAGACCAGAGCACCGCCACTTCTGCCACCATCCGCGGTTGTGTCGGGTTTAACAAGTTTGCACATTCCTCAGCTATGTATTTCTTGCCCTCCAGGAACTTCCAGCCTACAAGACTCTCTCCCTCAGTTTCCCGTAACTGCACTGGAGTCCAGTCTGCTCTAACCATCCTGTGATAGCAGTGTGCTGGTGGTCATAAGCTACAAAGTGCTTCATCAGCCCGAATTATTACTTTGGTAAATTATTTTTACATTTTTAATCCAAAAGAGTGAAATAAACCAGCATAAGCAGAAAAACATAAAACGCAAGAATTGCTTTATGGGCCCCTGGCTGAGATTTCTGAACTTGAACATTATACGCGGGAAACATTAGATGCAGTAATTATGTAATGATGCTTCACTGTATAACTGTTATCTTTCTTATTGTCACTCCTCCCTGCAGATGAGGGCTAGAGGGATTAACCCTCCCCATTCTGTCCTCAGAAGAGCTGTCTACACTCTGCGTAGAGACATCCAGAGTGTACAGGGCCTGAGAGAGAAGATCTTGCAGACCCTAGAATCACTTCTAAACTTGATCCTTTGTTTCTTGGTATCTCAAAATATCAGGAATTAAAAGAATGGCAGGAAGGCATCAAAATAAAATAGATTCAGGTTAATGCAATTAGTGAGGATGTATTTAGCTTAGAGGCGGGTGGCACTGGTGGTAAAAGAACCAGCCTGTCAATGCAGGAGACATAAGATGTGCAGGTTCAATCCCTGGGTCGGGAAGATCCCCTGGAGGAGGGCGTGGCAACCCACTCCAGTGCTCTTGCCTGGAGAATCCCATGGACAGGAACCTGGCGGGCATCAGTCCACGGGGGTTGCAAAGAGTCGGGCACGACTGAATCGACTTCACGTGCACACATTTACAATGGATAGAATAAATTTGTTGTGCTTGGTTCTTGGGCTGGTCCTCCTTTCTGCAGCATCTGAAATCAGCCATGCTGCACAGCGCGGCTCAGAGCAGGCATGCTGGTCCAAGGGGCTGAGCCAAGAAATGCAGAAAATGGCTTCACTGGAAAAGCTTCAGAAGCAGCGGCAGTGACAGCGACAGCCCGGAGAGAAGGCAGGCTTGGGGCCTGCTCTGCTCTGACGACTGCGGCGCAGACACTCCAGGATGTGGGACTCGGGGAAGATGTGTGTGTCTGCAGCAGGGAGTTCTCAGGCTGAAAGCAAAATTGGCAGGCTTAGCAAATGAGGGCCATTGTTTTTAAATATCAGATGAAGTTTGTTTGAATTCAGTTCAAACAAGTTTGTTTGAATGCCAGCCTTTGAGAACCATTCAACATGCAGAACACAGCACCAGTGAGACACCAGGGAGACAGAGAGCCTCTGCTCAAGACTTGCGTGGTTTCGGGGGGTGCCAGAGACCCCGGGAAGTTCCTGGTGCCTAGTGATGCACCAGAGAATGCTAGCTGGCAGGTGTGTGTGTGTGTGTGTATGAGAGAGAGAGAGAGAGTCTAATTCTATGGGCCTTAGTAGCTTACATAGATAATGTTTTTGGGTTATTTAAAATTTAGAATTACTGGACTACATATAAAGTACATATTACTATATCTTTTATGTGTTACATATATACACACATACCTGGTAAATCGCATATATGTATGGTACATACATATACGCCTGTATGTGTGTATGTAGTACTCACAAATGTGTATGTAATACTCTAATTCTATGGCATTAATAACTGACATAACATTTTTGTGTCACTCAAAATTTAGCATTACTACACCATATGTATAAAAAATATATACTGTATGTCTTATGTATTATATATTACCTATATAAACATATATCTGGTAAATCTCATGCATGTATGATACATACATATAAATGTGCATGTGTATCATATGCCTATGGAATTTGCCAGACCTAACACCCACAAGCTGTTGCCCCTCCGCAGTGTCTGCAAACAATCTGTATCAATATCTGCTTTGCTGTAGACGAGGAGGCCACAAGTCCCACGCATGTTACGCCTGTCACTTCAGTATCGTGGCAGTGACACTGCAGAAGAAGTGTGCACGGGGCAGACAGGAGCCCACGTGCTGTGGCCGAAAGAAACCACTGGCTACCTGGGGAATTGAAAGGAATTCAGTTGTGCTGACACTAACGTCAGTACAGCCACAAAGTCAACAGGAACCCAAAATCTCCTGTTCACTTGGCTTTATCCCCACGTACACGGCACGCTTCTGTGTGGATGAAAGAGCAACTGTGCTTTTAATACGCTATACTCCACTCATCTCCCCATCACCCCAGGATGACGAGGCCTTAGAAAAAGGAGAGATATATTCGGCAGTAAGATTGTTCTTCTGTGTGAGCTACCCCTGCGTCTGCAGACGGCAAGCACTGACTGTTTGGGAGGCCCCTCTGCTGAGGGCCTTCTTGCCCCACGACCGGGAGAAGACACCCCACACCCCGCTTTGTCCTCTGCCCTTCCCGAGCGCACAGTTAGACTCTCATGTCAGCTCTGGGCACCCGGGATCTCTGTGTAGACGCTGCCTCTGGAACAAGCGCTGACGGTCCTGATGCCAGGACCACTGCAGACCCCACGGTAAATGCAGCGACCACAGAGCACAGCATGCCCACTTGCTATGTGTGTACCGCTGACACTCATGACTCCTATGAGTGCCCGCCTCGAGGGGATATCAGGGTGCATGCAGGTCACAGACACCCCAATCGTCTCCACTAACCCCCGGATAACAGCCGCCCCCTCGCAGGCAGCTCAGGCAGCAGCCCTGCAGCGGGACCCTTGGGAGAATCATGCTCACGAGGGAAAATGTTAGCAAAGGTTAAGCAATCGCTCTTCAGAACCACGAGTCCTCGTCCTTATCAGTTGCAAAACCTCAGAAAACGACCCAGGCCTGCACCCCAGGCAGCCTCAAGGAACGAGGCAGGCGCTCATACACGGGGCTGCACCGGGAGCACGCCTTTAATTTCACACTCAGCTCCAGACTGGTGTCCAGATGGGGTGCTTCTCTGGAGCAAAGACCTACAACCACCTATAAATATACAGCAAGGCTGCCGTATACCTTGATTGATCATTGGTGCGTGTTATGTAAACCAAGGTGGATATTGCTCATTGAAAAAGCAAAGACGACCCTTGAAGTCCGAGACAAATTGTATTTGCAGTAACCCTGCATGAAGTCATTTAAACCTCAACAGCAATCTATTTGGCTATAGTGATAACAAGTGTTCAAAAGTTTAGGAAAGCATTACTCAGAACATTACAGACAAAAAGTTTTATATTAGAACATTTTTTTAAAGATTCACTATGAAAGAATGGTGTTATTATTTTATTTTATTTTAGCTAAGGAACTTGGAAGAGAGACTTACCCAGACGTGAGCAACACACTGGGAACAAGTGTGTGTGGTGTGTCTGTATGCACACAAATTTGTGTTTACATTTTGCCTTATGCAATGCAAAACCAGGGAGCATTACTTTTGTTTAGGGAATTAGGGGCATGGATTACTCACAACAGGAAAATGGGTCAGGAGTGCCTTTGTGTGATCAGTGTTTTCAATTCAGTTCAGTCACTCAGTCATGTCCAACTCTTTGCGACCCCATGGACTGCAGCACAACAGGCTTCCCTGGCTATCACCAACTCCTGGAGTTTACTCAAAACTCATGTCCAGTGCGTCAGTGATGCCATCCAACCATCTCATCCTCTGTCGTCCCTTTCTCCTCTTGCCCTCAATCTTTCCAAGCATCAGGGTCTTTTCCAGTGAGTCAGTTCTTCACATCAGGGGGCCAAAGTATTGGAGTTTCAGCTTCAGCATCAGTCCTTCCAATACATATTCAGGACTGATTTCCTTTAGAATGGACTGGTTTGATCTCCTTGCAGTCCAAGGGACTCTCAAGAGTCTTCTCCAACATCACAGTTCAAAAGCATCAATTCTTTGGCTCTCTGTTTTCTTTATAGTCCAACTCTCACATCCATATATGACTACTGGAAAAAACATAGCTTTGACTGGACGGACATTTGTTGGCTAAATAATGTCTCTGCTTTTTAATATGCTGCCTAGGTTGGTCATAGCTTTTCTTCCAAGGAGCAAGCGTCTTTTAACTTCATGGCTACAGTCACCATCTGCAGTGATTTTGGAGCCCCCCAAAATAAAGTCTGCCACTGTTTCCACTGTTTCCCCATCTATTTCCCATGAAGTGATGGGACCAGATGCTATGATCTTAGTTTTCTGAATGTTGAGTTTTAAGCCAACTTTTTCACTCTCCTCTTTCACTTTCATCAAGAGGCTCTTTAGTTCTTTGCTTTCGGCCATAAGGGTGGTGTCATCTGTATATCTGAGGTTATTGATATTTCTCCCGGCAATCTTGATTCCAGCTTGTGCTTCATCCAGCCCAGCATTTCTTATGATGTACTCTGCATATCAGTTAAATAAGCACGGTGACAATATACAACCTTGACGAACTCCTTTCCTGATTTGGAAAAAGTCTGTTGTTCCATGTCCAGTTCTAAGTGTTGCTTCCTGACCTGCATACAGATTTCTCAAGAGCAGGTCAGGTGGTCTGGTATTCCCATCTCTTGAAGAATTTTCCACAGTTTATTGTGATCCACATAGTCAATGTTTTAGCTCATGATTATTCTACAGGCATTTTTCATGGCTGTAAAAAATAAGTCCCATGAGGCGCTCTCATATTGTAAGTAAATAATTGACAATAACATATATATTACGTAATTGATGTTTTTAAGGAGAATGCTTGTACAAGTGATACAATTGCTCGCATCAAAAACTCCAGGAAGACCAGCGTCGGTGCCATTGGGTGGATGGTTTTCTATATCAGAAGCATTTGGTGGATCCTGAGTCTTGGCCCGAAGCACAGAAAGCTTAAAACTTAAAAAAATTCTCTTAACTATCTTACTAAATGAAGCAAGTCAGAAAGACAAACACCATAGGACATTGCTTATACACAAAACCTAAAACACGGCTCAGGTGAGTTTATCGACGAAACAGAAACAGACTCACAGCCCCAGAGAACAGACCTGTGGTTGCCAGGCGTGGGGGTGGGGGAGGGATGGATTATTGGTTTGGGGTTAGCAGGTGCAACCTGCTGGTATACAGAGAACGGACAAACAGCAAGGTCCTATGGTAGCGCATGGGACTGTATTCAGCATCCTGGGATAAACCATCATGGAAAGGAATATGAAAAGAATCACTGTGCAGGACAGCAGCAAGTAACACAACATTGGAAATCAACTATTACATCAATAAAACAAGTGAAAAAATAACAGATCATCTTAATAAATTGGTTTAGGTTCTTGAGTCAGCTTCTGGTAATTGGCAACTGCATATTTTACAGGAAGTATAACAGAATATAGCATTATAGTTTTATTAATTACCATGTACTTAATACAACACACACATTTTTAGCAGTAATTTAAAGCTTATTCCAGCTATAACACAGGTTACTCTGACTTTAAGGCAGCATCACAGGGCATGCATCTGAGTCCATTCTCAAGACGTTCTGTTGCACTTATCTCTGTCTGCTTTAAAGATCCCTGCAGCCTCTGGCACTACAGGGTCATCTGGGCCTGGATCACATAGCCATGAACAAATGGATAGAAGAACCTTGGAAACAGTTAAAACAAGCGACCACTGTGATTGCAGGAAAGTGAAAGTGTTAGTTGCTCAGTGGTGGCTGACTCTGTGTGTGACTGTAGCCTGTCCATGGAACTCTCTCGACAAGAACACTGAAGTGGGTAGCCATTCCTCTCTCCAGGGGATCTTCCTGACCCAGGGATCGAACCCAGGTCTCCAGCATCTCCTGCACTGGCAGACAGATTCTTTACCTTCTGAGCCATCAGAGAAACCCTGTATAAAGCTGTGATTACTGTTTATATTTGGATGATAAATTCTTGTAGTAAATGCAACCTTAGATGGGTTGAAGAGGCAGTCTGTAGGAAAATTGATTGTTAAAAAGAATACACCACCTTGACATGGGCTGTCACTAGGTCCCATAATTGTGCCATGCCAGTGAGATATATCACCCCCAACTGGACGTGCAGAACCTTGTGCTGATGTGAACAAGACAGTACTTCATTGCTTTACTATGATATGCAAACAGCCACAAGATGGTTGAATTTCTCAGTGATACCGATTCACGTCAGGAAATGTGAGCACTGCTTATTTTTCATACAATTATGAGAACAGAATATTTGGAACCTAAGCATATTTTTGGAATCAAGATTGCCAGAAGAAATATCAATAACCTCAGATATGCAGATGACACCACCCTTATGGCAGAAAGTGAAGAGGAACTAAAAAGCCTCTTGATGAAAGCGAAAGAGGAGGGTGAAAAAGTTGGCTTAAAGCTCAGCATTCAGAAAACTAAGATCATGGCATCTGATCCCATCACTTCATGGGAAATAGATGGGGAAACAGTGTCAGACTTTATTTTGGGGGGCTCCAGAATCACTGCAGATGGTGATTGCAGCCATGAAATTAAAAGACGCTTGCTCCGTAGAAGGAAAGTTATGGCCAACCTTGACAGCATATTAAAAAGCAAAGACATTACTTTGCCAACAAAGGTCCGTCTAGTCAAGGCTATGGTTTTTCCAGTGGTCATGTATGGATGTGAGAGTTGGACTATGAAGAAAGCTGAGCACTGAAAAATTGATACTTTTGAACTGTGATGTTGGAGAAGACTCTTGAGAGTCCCTTGGACTGCAAGGAGATCAAACCAGTCCATCCTGAAGGAGATCAGTCCTGGTTGTTCATTGGAAGGACTGATGCTGAAGCTGAAACTCCAGTACTTTGGCCCCCTGATGTGAAGAACCGACTCATTGGAAAAGATCCCGATGCTGGGAAAGATTGAGGGCAGGAGGAGAAGGGGATGACAGAGGATGAGATGGCTGGATGGCATTACTGACTTGATGGACATGAGTTGGAGTAAACTTCAGGAGTTGGTGAGGGACAGGGAGGCCAGGCGTGCTGCGATTCATGGGGTCGCAAAAAGTCGGACACAACTGAGCGACTGAACTGAACTGAAGCATATTTTGGCAATTTTCTTTTAAAAGCTATCAAAGGGTACATACTCAATACCGTGAAACACTAAGAGTTCTTTTGATTAAAAAATTTCTAAAATAATATTGATGTAAAAAATTATTTAGCACAACTTTACTAAAGGTAATATACAAACACATCAGTTTTTAAAATCGACCTTCTAATTATTTCTATTTGCACCAATAAAATATTTTGGTTATCTGATGTGAACAGACAGCTCATTGGAAAAGTCCCTGATGCTGGGAAAGACTGAGGGCAAAAGGAGAAGAGGGCATCAGAGGATGAGATGGCTGGACAGCATCACCGATGCAATGAACATGAATTTGGGCAAACTCTGGGAGATGGGGACAGACAGGCCTGGCACATTTGCGGTCCACGGGGTCGCAAAGGGTCAGACACGACCAGGCAACCGAATAACAACAGTATAAACCTATATTCTACACAAACATAAATATATATAAATATGTGTTTAGACCATTATACGTATAAAATAAATGTAT